ATGGATAGTTGGAAGTATGGTGTAAATTTTTGGAAAGGACCATATTTACATATTCTGAAAAGAGGTAACTCTTATTCAGAAGTAATAGTCAGAATGGGAATATGGAAATGTTTCATAGGTGGAAGTTATTCACTAAATCTGTGTAAGATTAGAAAATTTAATGCAAGAAGGATGTTCAAAGGAATGTAATTTGAATTTGAGACTTCGTTTCCATGGAATTGATCTCCATTGGAATACTCTGTAATGTCTGTTGACAAGTCTTTGTGACTTTGTGCATAGTTATTACAAGAGGATCAATGCATATCAGTTTAGAATCTAACAGATTTCGGTAAATGGCAGGAATTTGGAATTCTTACATTTATGATAAGGATTTGGGATTGTGAAATGAGAATCATTGGAATTATGTTCAATTGATCTATTCCGCAAAGTAAGAATCATAGACAAACATAGTGTGCATACTTGGAGTATGACATAACTATTGTTTAGACAAACATAGTGTGTATGCTTGGAGCATGGCATGAATATTGTTTTAATTCAAGTATTAAGTTGATTATTCGAAACATTATACAATGAATAATGAGTAATCAATATGGCTCAAAAGGTTCGGGCCATATAGGATTAGTATTATTCTTGTGTTTCACTTTGCATGTTTTGGCTTCCTGAAAAACTAGGTTATTCAAACCGTCCACAGTCGATCATACTTTGGAAGTAGGTATTGAGGCAAGACTGTCATGAATGGGTTTGTAGTTTGTTTATAGACATGGCTGCAGTGTTCATGAGTGCTCCTGGAATGAGATTCGAGTATTGGATTCAACCCACGCTTATCTAATCACTTCATGGATTTTATCACGGGTGATTAATGAGACGATAATATCCTATATTCTTGAAACATATTGTTGTGTGTGATTTGATAAGTAAGTGCAAGCGAGCATTTTGGTCGAAGTTTATCCATTCCTTTTACTCTTGGAGGGATAAAAGCGATATCTGTGGGCCCCTCGATGATTTAATGATGACACCCTAAGTGCTTGGCCAAGCCTGGACTGATTTGATTTGTTCAAATTAGTCGGTCGTCATAAATCGGAAATCGGGAAACAACAGATAACAGAGAGAATGATTATAATCCAGCTCTCAGTCCATATGATATCTCTAGAGTGGAGGAATATATGATCCCTTATCTAATGGACGTGTCATTGATTTCTTCAGAGTTCGACAGCGGCTTTTAAGAGCTACGATTTCTAGTCAGGTTGCAGAGTCATACTTGCAATAATAGTTATTAGACTTATCCAAGTGGGAGACTGTTGGATTAGTTTCTAAGTCTATAACTATAATTGGTATGTACTTGACCCGATTTGGCATGGTCCATTTGGATTGCATGGCATCGGAACAATTTGGATAGACTTTAGTGAGAAAATGATATTTATGATTTATTAATATATTATAAGTTCTAATATATTAATATGAAATCATATTATTTAATTAGTATTGATCAAGAATTAATTTGGAATTAATTTTGTGATCAAAAGAGACTAACTAAATATATGGGGATTTGATTATGTAAATCATTCATTCTTATATATGTGGGCTTATGATCCATAGTTCTTCATGTTGGGCTAAACCCATGGGGTAATCCATGGATACTCCATGGAGGTTAAAACCCATGGATCATGAGGAATATGGAAAGTCATGAGTTACATGGTGTAACCCTAATAGCCACAATATATAAAGACCCCATAGCTCAAGAAATCGGCCCTTAGGATTTATATGAAAGGGCTGGCCGATTTCGAGCATAAGAACTTTTCTCTCAAGTTATTCCAAGTTGTTGGTGCTTAGTGGTGTTGTATGAGCCATTTGAGGTGTCAGACTTGGGGCACTAGGCTCTTAAGCTCCATGGAATCAAGCTACAACAAAGAGGTATGTCATTCCACTAGATTCTTGTATTGTATATACTTCATATTATGCTAGTTAGGATGAAACCTTGGAATATTGAATATTTGCATGTATAATAGAGAAACATAGATCCAAGGTTTATAGGGTTGCATGTACACCATAAGAGTGTTAGATTGCTCAAAACCCAACACCTGTCATGTCTCATCTCAAGCACATGATAAAGTCCTATATTCAGGAGATTGGAGAGATGGATGTTGAGGTTGCTGCTGTCTTGCGAAAGAAGCCTTCTGTTGTTCGTAAGGAAACTCCCAAGGATTTTGAAAAGTTGAAGCCAGGGAAGATTTACAGTGGAGATTGGTTCGTGGTTTATTCTGCTAGGGAACGAACTAGAGCAGACTTTCGCAAAGGATGCTTCTATCTATCTAATAAGCATCTTTATACCACATCCTTCCTTGAGTACATTTTGGACCATGTGAGCAAGTTCAAAGGCAACAACATAGATGATATCAAGTGCTTCTCAGATATGGTTCTATGGTACATTGAGATTCGCCAAGCAATTTTTGCTATCATTCCGAAGGTGTATGATGTGCAGAAGCGAATCCAAGGCTGAAGGGTTCGGGCCTCAATTAACGCAAATGGGGAGATTGTTGGGTATTCAGTGTTGCGACATTGGGCTTATTAGTTAGACATTTGTATTATCGAGTTGGGCATGTCCACTCGTTATTAATTCTAGGGTTAGAGTATTTAAGCTGCATGCATGCATCGAATTTCAATAACTCTGATCTTTTACTTTGTAAGCCTAATCACGCCTCTACAGTAGCAATTCCTCATAGAGTTTTTTTGAGGCATGACGTATTTGACATTCTTGAATCTTTAATTTTTTTTTTATTTTACCTGTTCTTGAATCTAATCGATCATCAAGGATATTAATCCTAACAAAAATGAATACTTTAATAGATTAAATGTGTACCGGGAATGGGGCGTTACAAAGTTATTCAAACTGGATGATTTGATCATAAATTTATTGTAATAAAGATCACCTAAGCAATAGAGATCCAATGCATAAATGTGATTAAACATGTATATTAAACTTTTTTATTAGAGATCCCATAAAACTAGGAATTATATATTATAACCTAGTTATATACCGATTACACAAGTTACTCAAACTGGATGATTTGATCAAAAATCTATTGTAATAAAGGTCACCTAAGCATTAGAGATCCGATGCATAGATGTGATCAAACATGTATATTAAACTTTGTTATTAGCGATCCCATAAAACTAGGAATTATATACTACTATATAATTGATAATCGATATCTATCTAGTTGGATTCAGATGAATGGGATAAATGTCACCTAACCATTTTATTTGTTTTGCAACTTGGATCATAAACTTTGATAAGTAATGTTTTTATAGAAACTATAAGGGTATTAATTATTGATGATTAAATATTAAAAATATTAAATGAATTTTGTTAAAAAATTTTAGATGACCCAAAGTGCAAACCCACCAATTATCAAAATTGTTCACGACCTTTTAAGGTCAAGGAGACTATTCATTAACAACTTCAACTCTTGGTATAAAACGTTGAGAATGGTTCTCAAGCATTAAGGAAGGTTGTATATTCCTATGCATCATCTTCCCATCTATACCCCTTTCATATATATTGAAACTCATGCTAAATGGTTGAGATATTTTTGATTATTCAACCGATATATCTTGTCTTATGCTTGAATCCATGCATCCAACTCATAGGAGAGAATTGGAATAAGTTTTAGCACATGACATGCTAGTTCGCCTGATTGAAAGGAACCATTATCAGGATGAACATGATGATTAGGAGAAGATTATCCTATTATGGAAATGCCCACAGTGGGCAACTCTGGTATCTACTAGATAGAACTTATACTTTTCACATAACACTCAAATACTTGATACTTAATTTTAATCATATATTTATAAATGGCTTGTAGATATTTCAAGAAGAGTAACCAACTGAACATAAGCAAGTTGGAACTACAATCTCGAAGTTTAGTTTATTATTTATGTTTAGAACATAGAGTACTTGTAATGTTAAACAATAATTATTTTGGAACAATGTATGTTTTAAAATTCAGTCAGTCTAATTATATGTCTCTGTTAATTTATTAAAACTGTATAATTTACTTAAATCGTTTTTTATAATGATCACCTTCATATTTTGTAATGATTAAAATTATGTTTTAGTGAACTAGATCTCTTAATACAATTAGGGAAATCTCCAAAAAGGTTTTATTAATTTGAGAAAATTAACGATTAAGTCCTATTTTTTTTAATAGAAAAGTCCAATTAACAGAAAAATTTCTTCACTTTAGTCCATTTTGAATTGTTTACCAGGTCATGAAACTAAATCTTTAATTTTTCCAAAATAATGAGACTTTTCTACGTATACCAAAATACATAAAAGTACTTCAAATATATATATAATTACGTAAAATAACATTTATATTTTTAAAATACATAAAAATATGTAAAAATTTATATACAAAACTTAAAAAAATATATAAATATACCAAAAATATACCAAAAATACATAAAAGTACATAAAAATACTTAAAAATTCACACATACACACACATATATATATATATATATATATATATATATATATATATATATATATATATATATATATAGGAACAAATTACTAAAATCGTCCATGTGTTTTGTCAAAATTTTGCGTTTGGTCCCTAAGTTTTTTTTCGCACTCAGACAGTCGCTATGATTTGCCATAATTTTATGTTTCGTATCTCGTAGAGATAAAAAGACTATTACATTTTGTATTTTATTTCTCATTATTTTAATTATTATTGTATTTTATTTCTTATTTTTTATTATTATTATTGTATTTTATTTTTCATTTATTATTATTATTATTATTATAAAAACTAAATTGTGGGTGTTTATTTCCCTTATTTCCCCACTGCCTCTTATCAGTTGAAGAACCGTAGAAGCTCTTGAACTCAGCCTCACCACGGGAACAACCATTCGTCGGCGGAACAATCAGATCTCTGCCGGAACCGCCGGTCGCCGTCGACCACCAGATCGCTTTCTAAAACACCTATACAATGATGGTGGTGGCTTCAAATCGGAGATCGTGGTGGATATGCCCCTCACCAGCTTCATCTTCTCAAGTTCCTATTCGTCGGAAATCGTCATTGTCGCCATCGTTGGTTCTGCTTAGGGTTTTCCATCGATTTCTTTGTACTCAGTCTTCCTCCCTCGATTTCCCTCTACTCCATCGATTTCTATCTAATTCGTTGCGTTTCTTCGGAGGTGGATCTGTCCGAAGGAGAGGGATCTGAAGATGATGGAGAAGGAAACGTCTTCCTCCCCTCGATTTCACCGGCAATATTGATTTCTTTGTACTCTGTCATTCCTCTCACCCATATACACCCTGCCACCAGAAAATGCAAATCTGATTTAAAAAACGAGTTGTAAGTTTCTTACTGTTTTTGGACATGTTTAGCTAATTTTTCCGTGAACTCTCTGAATCTAGAAAGGAACGATGGGTGAATCGATTTCTAGAACCATTTTGAGCAGAGTTTATTTATTTATTTATATATATTTTTTTAGGTTTGGGTTGGAGGAAGAGGAAAGGGATTTATGGGTTTAGCATCTGGGATAATTGTAGTTGATGGAGTGGTTTTGGTACTGGAGCTTAATATCGGAGGTGGTGGTGAATACCGGAGAATGACGGCGATGATGGCGACAGCGGTCGACGACAATAGTGTTGGTGGCGGTCGAGAGAAGTAGTGCTGGACCGGTGGTCGTGTTCAATGGTAGTGTTGGTGCTGGTGTTTATTTTTTTTAATTAGGAAATTATAAATTATAAATTAATGAAATAAAGAACTATGGAATGGTATTATAGTCTTTTTCATTTATGTCGGTGACTAAAACCGAAAAAAAACAAACTATAGGGATAATCTAGGTGAAAAAAAGTTACACAAAATTTTAACAAACGACAGTGACGATTTCAGTAATTATATATATATATATATATATATATATATATATATATATATATTTAAAATATATAAAAAAACATAAAACAAAACTATATAAATACATAAAAAAAAAAACTTAAAAAAAGTTATATAAAAAAGTAAAAAATATGTATATTGTTATCTAAGACATTAAAAAAAAAGTTATATAAAGAAGTAAAAAATATGTATATTGTTATATAAGACATTGTTATCTTTGTTGTTTAAATAAAATACATATATTTCAACTTTAAGAAGTGAATTTTTGAAGGCTAATAATATAGCTTATTTGATATATATGAATTTTATTTATATAAAAAATTTTAATGATATTTTTACTAAACTGAAGAAAAAATAATTATATTAAGGACTGGACATTGTGACGTATGACTTCATTTCTAATGAAATGTCTATGATTTCGCACAAGATGCCACATACACTTTATTAACAACAATAATAGTTATAATTGTATTTTTACAAGTTAAAACATAATTGTGAAAGTTTTGCCTAAGTTTTCAAATATAAAGTTGAAAAACCATTCAATAGACTCATCAAAGGGTTAAGAATAATAAAGGATGAGCTAGACCTTACTGGATATAGTTTATTTTCTAATCGATAGAAATTATTTTCCTTTAACGTTTTCTTTTTGGGATTATACCTTAATCACTATCACTTGTACTTTGAATACGAAAACCAACAAATAAATAGATAAAACACTTGATAAGATTTCGTATGGAAAAGCTCATTCCTTATCTTACTTAATGTTTTATGAATTTGAAGTCTATGTTAGACTAAAGCTTCTAAACCCAAAATGTAACGTCCAAAATATCACGATCAAAATTTTCATTTTTAATTTAATTAAAACATTGTTTATAGGAAAACCAAGTCAAGAAAACCATAAGTATCATAATACAATCATCTCAAAAATTCAAGTATCACAAAATACAGAATCATGAAACTGCCGATGAGAGTGTACAGTCAAGCCTTCGCCTTCCCACGATCATTTGAAGTACATGAAACACATTCAAATCCATAATTGTAGGCACCAAGCTTAGTGAGTTCCCCAAAATATCACATATAGCACAAAAAATAAACAGTTATGGGTTATCAACAACCTTGGGACTATCAATAGTCATGAGGACTATCAACAATCCTTTGGGCTCATAGCAGCCCTATGGGTTATCAGCAACCCTATGGGTTATCATCAACCATGTGGACTATCAGCAGTCCGAGAGTTATCAGCAATTCAAAAAGCACGCTTAATAACAATCAACAGATAAGACTCAACTAGTCTAACATGCACCCTACTATGATACAAGTACTATAGTGAGAAAACTCACCTCACAAGTAGCAGCCAGATACAACAGCTCTCAGATAGTGCAGACCGATACTAAGAAACACCTAACAAACATAAATAAGTTTACTCTCAGTCTACACCCTAAATCCTTCAGGTTGACCAAAAGTCAACAATGGTCAAAAGTTAATGGTCAAAGTCAACCTCAACAGACATCCACGTCATGACCACTCATAGGCCATGCCATGGCAGCTTCTCGACAAAACAACAGGGCAATCACTTGTCTCCACGTCGTGGTGAGTAGAATGTCACGTCGTAGAAATTGGGTTTTCACGTCCTAATGGTTTAAGCTCTCAATCCATTAAGCCACCCATTCACACACTCCAGAAATCTTCCTAACGACTAAAACAACATAAAAATCGATGATTTTCATCCATGCATGTCAGTCTAGCCTTCAAACTTGGTCCAAATGGAGAAATAAAACCAAGATATCATGCATGGAGTTCAATACACCAAAAAAATTCAGATCTAGAACATATGTCCACCAAGGGATCTCAATGATCCATAAAGTGTTGGATTAGGTGTCTAAGCCCATAACTATATTTGGTATGTACTTGACCCGGTTGTAGCATGGTTCTTTTGGGTTTCCTTCACCAAAGCAACTTGACTGGAAGAATAATGGAGAAAGATGATAAAAGTGATTTATTAATATATTATATGAATAATATATTAAAAGAGAAATCATATTATTTAATTAACATTGATCAAGAATTAATTTAGAATTAATTTTGTGGTCAAAAGAGGTTAATTGAATTAGGGGGACTGTTATTGTAATTATAAGATAGTTGCAATATGGGCTGTGGATCCCTTATGAAAGGGATGGACGATTTTATATGGAAGCCCATATAGAAATCGTCCAAGCTAGGGATTCTGGAAGGATCTAATGGGCTGCTTAGGGATTAAGTAACCAAATTAGGTATTTGACTGAAACCCTAACTCTGCAGCTATATAAGGACACCCTTGGCATCCAATTTTCGGCTACCACAACCCTAGAAGGATTCATTGAGCCGAAAATTACCTCTCCCCTCTCTCTCTTGCATTCTCCAATTGCTTTGGTGTTTGTGATCTATTAGAGGCATCACATTTGAGGTGCTAGGTTCTCAAAAGCTCAAGATCTTCAAGCTTCAATTGAAAGGTAACATTCTTACTAGTTATTTATGTTGATTTCAATTTTTGTAGTATGCTAGTTTTGGGTTTGCAAGTCTTGGACAATTATTGATTGTACAAATAGAAAAACTAGATCCAAGCATTAGGGTTTGCATGTGCACCATAGGATTGATGTAATGCTCATAACCTAACAGTGGTATCAGAGTCTAGATCGTTTTTCTTTTGTATTTGATGCATAGCTAAATTGTTCAAAGCTCAAAAATCGAAAAATCTTGCATCTGACTGATGAACTCGTCGAGTCACCTGATGAACTCGATGAGTTAGGTCAAATCGACGAGTCCAGTCTGTGACTCGGCGAGTCGGGTCGTCTGGTGGCTGATTTTTCGGGATTTTGGCCAGAATTGAATTGGGATAATTACCAAAAACGTTTTTAATTGATAAAATCCGATTTTTTCAATAAGGTATTGATTATCCTAATGCAATTCAAGGATAATTGTCATAAATAAGATAATTACTTGTTTTATATGATAAAGATTGATTATTTGTATTTTGATTTGAATTATCTTGTCAAGAAAATAGATTAAGTCAAATTATGTGATAAAGATTAATAATATGATTAATTAATTATTTTTCAAATTTGATCTAAAAGATGTTTTGAAAAGTTTCAAAACATGCCCTTAAGTTTTGGAATTTAAATTTTGATTAATAGTTTTAATTTTGAAATAATTAAATTCCAAACCCTAGAATTTTACAAGTTTAAAATTCAACCCTTATACTATTATAATATAATAAGATTAATAATTATATATATATGTATAAGATAAAGCTAGTCTTATCGTTAGTAGGCCTCATTCACGAAGCCGATCTATAAGGGGGGTATAAGGTTGCTGCCCATAAAATGATAGTTTAATGAGTGTCCACTCTCACCCACCGCTTCCTTGATTGGTGGAGGGTCGTTAGCCGAACGGGTAGGATAGAGCAACTAATTCCTCATTAATAAGTATAATGATTTTAATAAAGTAACTAAATGTTTTTATAAATTCCCAATCTCAGTTACTTTAGGTAAAATGTGAAATGATGCTATTCCATGAAATTACACTTTGCACCCTGCGAAGTCGTTAGTGGAGCGTGTGTGGATAACCGACACACTAATTTGGGACTAGCAAAGGTGGCAAAGGGTAGCTCGATGTTTATCATAGATCAATGGAGCGTGTGTGGCTAACCGGCACATTGATTAGGTGATTTGTAATATCGAGAGTACCAAGTACATTTGCATGGTTATTCACACTTTATTTGTGATCCTCGGTATCCCAGTCACAATTTTGAAGGGCATATCGAGATTTAAACATGTCATTGGAAAGTTCAATGAATCTCAAAAGAATCTAGGAATTTCAACTCATTTAAAACTTAATTGTCTTGTATGTTTTCATGGTGGAAATTGGTAAATCGTCATTTACCTAGCTTCAAATTATTTGCAATTAGATTACGACATCCCTCTTCTATATTGTAAATAATTGTGTTAGGTCCTAGCCCTAATTTCTCATTTGGGTGTTTAATTGGGGATTATTATCTAATCTAAACTTTGTTCCTTTTTTATTTCAGATGTCTACTCAAAACAACGCTTCTGGCTCGACCCCTTCTGGCTCATTCTCACTCATGAACTTGTGTGGGAGGGTGATATTTGATGGGACCAATTTCAATGATTGGATCCGCAATATTCGCATGGTCACCCGCTATGAGGACAAAGAGTATGTTCTCGACAAGAAGCTGAAAGAGGTTAACTCAAACACTGCCACTCTAGAGGAAATTTTTGCGTTCGAAACTCATGAAAGGGATGCAACGAAGGTACATTGCATCATGCTCGCAACAATGACCACTGAACTCCAAAAGTCCTACGAGGACTACTATCTGTACGAGATGCAACAAGATTTGATGGAAAGGTACCATCAAAGTGTTCAGTTTTGGTATACTACGACATCCTATGGTGCACATACAACCCTAAATAGACCTTGGATCTATGTTTTCACTAATTATACATGCAAATGGTTTCCAAGGCATTAAACCAATAACTAGCATGCATTTGACATAAACCATATAAGATACTAGTTAGGGTAACATACCTTTTGTGTAGCTTGAAGTCTTGATGTATTTGGCCTTAAGAGCTTGCCCCAATAGTGTGGAAGCCTCAAATGAAGTCACAACACATCATGAACAAAGGAGGAACTTGAGAGGGAATTCCTATTCACCCAAAATCGTACACACACACTTCAAAAGGCTAGTCACGATTTTTGGCTATAGAATAACATATTTATATGTAGGATTCCAAAGGTCATGGGTATAACCCAAATCCATACCCATGGGTCTAATGATCCATG